CAAAAGTTCACTATTTTTCATAAGTTAAATAACAGTAAATCCCTATACTACATATATAAACTTCAAAATATCCTTAAGAATTCAACAAATATACCATACTCAAACTCAAGCCTTAACAGGGGATGAACCCGTCGCTCACAAACACTCAGACATAACACTGATCCATAAAAATTGAAGGACAATATTTTAATAGATGTTGTCATTACCAAATGGTCATAATTCTCAAGCTACATGGAATGAAAAGTTTTTGAAATATCATCAATAGCTATGGTGGGGGAGCCAAAATGGCAAAGTCACAGGAAGAAGTACTATAAGCTCCATGCTCTCCCAAACTCCTCTAAACAGATCTAGAAAATCCACCAGACCAAATCCCGATGGGAAAATCTAATAAAAATACACAATATGTCACTTTTCTACATCAGGTTGACAAAAGGAAACAGAGAGATCTGGGTTTGGCCAGGAGTAGCTAAGGATCACTCTAGCTTCCTCTTTACTATAGGCAAGTACTTCAGAATATTAACAGTTTGCACACATTTTTCCCCTTTTTTTTAACAATTAAGCACATAATATGTAATATTATACATGAGTAATGTAGCACCATCTAGATTAGAAAGAAGTTGTGATCCTAACAATATCATAAACAATATTATGGATTTGAAACATAAAATGAAACCCATTTCTAGTTAAGGTACCTCAATTCAGTGGAATGCATTTCTAAATTGCACAGAAAATCATTCTAAAATTTAAGAGGAACTTACATAAACTAATCTATGAACTTCCTACTTATAACCCTGTCAAACATCTTATCAGATAAAAACAAAGGAAATTTCATTACTATCCGTATAAAATACTAACACCGAATTAATGAGCTAACAATATTCAAATTACAAGAGAATCAATTTTTCTAACTACGTTGGTGTTACCAAGTTTCATAATATAAACAAATACTTAGATTCAAATTTAAAATACTAGGAAATACACAAAGTTTTACAAACAGTTTGAATTCATACTTGTTATCATTGGGTTAGCTTAAAGTACACTGGGCTAAGTATTATAAGTCATTGTCTTTAGAATATCTTAACCTAAGATTCTGGATGACTGATTTTTGGCCCAGGTGGATAGCTCTAATGAATTATTCACAGGATGTGACCAACTTTCTCAGGCAGAAACTTTTGAGTTTTCACAGAGTTAAATTCTCAATTTGAACAATACAAGTTAAGGTCCTATATAACAGCTGTAGCTCACAATAACCGATGTTTTTACCACATCTGATATTTATATAATGTTAGGTTTATAATATGGGCTGCCTACAGACTATCCTGAAAGGTGGGTGGACACGACTTACAGATGCTTATCTAACCTTAACTCATAAACCAAAACTGCAGAAATTTTTAAGACTTTTATGGTCCAATGGTTAGAGACATATATATATAATATATATACACATACACACATATATATACATATATACACACATATATACACATATATATATACACATATATATGAATAAGAATATTTTCCTTCCAATTTCTGGTTCTTCACTAAAATCAAATCACTGTGTTTTAACCTAAGCGAGTGGCTAGATCTTGAAGCCTTAAAATATTGACACCCTACTCAGTTGCCTATCTTCCACAAAAGCGAGCACCCAATGTTACTTTAAACTATCAGCAAGTCTAGTAAGATTTTAGACTTTCACCTTTCACAGATGAGGATACTTTAAGGGATCCTTGTTATGCCAACCTTACAGAAAACCATTATAACCATCCCCTATATTTCTAAAGAGTTTTTATAACATATTTACATCAGTCTTTTAACAATTAAATCCATAACCCAAAGGAATGAAAGAAGAGTTCGTTTTTCTAACAATATTTCTTTTTTTTTGGGGGGGGGATTAGGCAATTGGGGTTAAGTGACTTGCCCAGAGTCACACAGCTAGTAAGTTTTATGTGTCTGAGGCTGGATTTGAATTCAGGTCCTCCTGACTCTAGGGCTGGTGCTGTATCCATTGCACCACCTAGCAGCCCCTTCTAACAATATTTCTAAAACAATGAATTATCAAATTAATGTTAGGCATTATCTTTAACACATTACAAATCATAATAACTAGGGTAACTTGTCTTAAAATCACACGGTTAACATGTTTCCTGATCTATATAGTATTATGAGAATAATAATAACAAATTTCACTTAAAATGACACCAGAATTCAATTACACCTAGATCTATTTTCCAAAGAAGCTTAGAACATATAGAACCTTAATTTATAATTTAAATTATTTAATCTTATATTTTATATAAGGGCTATTTATTTCAAGCATTTTATATTATGGGATTCAATATTTCCAGCTAATCCACTGCAAAAGATTTTAAAAGTAACAGTATTCTACCCTAATTATCATGCGTAGGAACACCTTGCTTACCAAATTCCTCCTAACCTTCTATATATGTCAGTATTGGCTTTCTGTAGCTAACAAGCTTCACAATTTTCCTTCTCAATCTAGCTACTCATACAAAAGTCAAACTTGTTCATCTGAAGCTGGCACACAAGCTTCCAGAACAACTGTCCAGGGTAAAGAGGGGCTTGGCGTATTCAGCCTTACTGCTGCCCTCCTACTGTATGAAGGGTGTGTTCCTTATTTGTCTCCAAACCTTCTTATCTATATTCCATATTTTCCCTCCAGTATTTATTTCTCTTTCCAAATCTTTCAAACCAATTACACAGACCACACAACTTTCCTTTAAATTTCAACCATATCCCAGACTACTTATTGTTATTAAACATTCCCAAGCTATAGAGTTACATTCAACCCAGGTGAGTGTCTTCTTTCATGTGCCTATCACAACTATATAACCTGTTACTTGATTAGCTGCAATTGAGGCATTATCTACTAGATCAACTAGCTCTAAACCTTTCTCATTCTCCCAAAAGGAGATAGAAATCTGAGCAGCCTATCTCTACTAGTCCCAGAAGAAATTTGTAGGACAACTCTTTTTTTTTAAATCCATTAAGATATTTTAAGTAACCACAAAAAAAAATTTTAGGCCTGTTCAAGCCCAGGAGTGGGATTCTGGATTCTCCCAACTACATTAACAGCTCATAAAAAGCTTTACTGCCCAATTAACAACAGAGATCTGTTATGTTTCCCCAGAGTTCAACTCTAAGGAGTTTTCCAAATTAAATCACACTTATTTCTCTTTTCTTCTGACTCTTCACTTTTTAGAATCTGGAGAGAGTTAATACTTAACAATTCATAAATCAAGACAGTTGTGTTTCTCTCACAATTTTTACCCATATTATTTATACAAACAGCTTTTGCAAATTATAATATACATTTTAAACACATTGCTGAAATTCTGAAGTGATGGCATTTAAAGCTATGATAGAAAAATCTTAATCAAAGTGTCTTAAAAGACAAAAACTTATTTTGTGGTTTTAAGCATGTTTCCCTGATATCAGATATACTGGGTAGACAAAGACAGTTTCCCAGATTGAAATCTACAAACTTTAGTTTTGGAATCCAATTAAAAATGAATTTATAAACTTTCAGTTTTCAAGATCATTTTTCAACTAAAATTTTTAGCCTAAAAAGCAGGAAGAGCCCTTACCCTCTAGCTGCTTCTGAGTTAAAGCAAAATTTCTTTCCACACACAGCTTCAGATAGCACTTGTTAAATTCCTACTTGGATAATTTATCAATAGAAAGATTAGTTATTCAATTTAAATGGAAATGGATCTTTGAGATTCATAGTCCTTACCTCTCCCTCTTCCTATATAATTGTTCCTTCAGTAACCCTTAAAAGCATTCCCCTTTTGACTTCTAGGATCCCTTTTTCTCTTAAAAAAGAGTTTTGAGTAATGTGATTTTTCCTTCCACACTTTATGGCCGGATTCACACTGCAGTGCTGTCTATGGGCAGCTTGGTTTGAGATCTCATCAGCTTAGAGCTAAGTACAAGCAGCTGCTGTACCACTCTCAGAAAAAAAAAAAAGTGGCTGGATTTTTACTTCAAGGAAGTACTCAAAAGAAAAATTCCTTCTTTAATTCTACTTTCAACTTTTAATTCAAACTTTTATAAATTGGAGGAAAGTTCCCCTTTTTCTCTCTGTCTCAGTTTTGGCTACAATCAAAAGACAGAAAGAATTTTTTTAATTAATTTTCTCCTTAAATTACCCTTTAAATTTTAAACATAGCCTGAGGGAATCTTACTGTCCTGGCTGATTAAGACTTCACCCTACTTCTTGAACCTAGCATATATAGCCTAATTCTGCAAATCCCATAGAAACAAAGAGACACAAAACACAGACGAGAACACCCAGAGTCTTAGTGACCAGAAATTAAAGTTCAGATGTAAAAGTTACTTCCTCCCTTGTCTTGCTTACCTCACTTACTTCTACCATTTATTCTACTGAAGCCATTTTTTTTTCTCAGATCCAGTTACTTACTTGAAAACCTGACAGCAAGAATCTTTTTAGAAAAATTATGACTCTTGTATGGACTGATGCTGAGTGAAGTGAACAGAACCAGGAGAACGTTGTATACAGTAACAACCGTGTTGTGCAATGCCTAATTTTGATAGACTTAGCCCTTCTCAGCAATGCAAGGATCTAAGACATCTCTAAATCTCATGATGGAAAATGCTATCCACATCCAGAGAAAGAATTATGTATTTTCAATGCACATATTATTTGCTCTTTTTTTTCTTCTGTTTTATTTTGTGTCCTCTTTCTTGTGGTTCCTCCTATTGGTTCTAATTCTTCCTTACAACATTACTAATGTGAAAATATATTTAACAGTAATGTATATGTATAGCCTACATCAGACTGCACACCATCTTGGGGAAGGAAGTTGGGAGGGAGGGGGAGAAAAATTTAAAACTCAAAAGCATATAGAAATTTATTATTGAAAACTAAATAAAACTATTATTACTGATTATTGAAAACTAAAAAGAAATTAATAAAAAAAGAAAAAAGAAAAATTATGTCTCCTTGCTTATCTTACCTAGCTTCTTATTCTGCTCACAGTATTTTTTTTCCTCAGAATGCAGAGGACAGTGGAAAAGATTAATGCATAAGAGCGGGAAATCACTCCAAGGTCAATGCTTATTGCAAGGAAAACTACCAACTCCTCGATGTAGGTGCTAGTGCAGGAGAGTTCCAGGATGGGGGTGGAGGGTGGGGGGAGGACAATGTCACACACATAAAGGTTGGTGATGTTACTATCACAGAAGGATAGTCTCAGCATGCATCCAGTGTGGGCCATGGCAAGAGTAAATCCCATTACATATACACCAGTCACTAGAAGGGAGCAAACCTGAGAGGACATGATGCTGTTATAAAGCAGTGGTTTACAGATAGCAACATATTGGTCATAGACCACGGCTGACAAAAGAAAGGACTCAGAATTTACAAAGAAATGAAACAAAGACAGCTGAGCCAATGCACCAATGTCTTCCTCACAGTCATGTTTTGAAACGAAGTTTATTAGCACTTGGGGGATAACGACAGAGGAATAACAGAGATCTATGAAAGACATATTGAAGAGAAAATGAAGCTGTGGATTAAGCCTAATAAAAATCATCAAGCCTAGGTTCCCAACTACAATTATCACATAGATCCCTAAGAACAGGAAAAAAAGAAGGAGCTAGAGCTACAAGATAAATTCAGTCATAGAGGAATAATTTCCTGTGGTCATTCTCTTCTGAGCAGAATCCATGGGGACTAGAAAAAAGAGTCAAATTAGAGAAGGAATCAACTCTTCACGGCATTATCCACAGTGCCTGGCACATAGTGGGTGATTAATAAATGCTTCTTGAATGAATGAATAAAAGAAAACAAACTTGAAGATCCTTAACCCAATCCCTTCCTGGCCCCACTGTTGTCACAAAGATTTCCAATAACTCTGACTACTCTCTGTAAAAGTTTCCATAAGCCAAACAGCTGGCATAAACAGCTTTTGAATCTGTCCTTAGAGTTAGGCAAAAGCAGGCAGGCAAGAAGAAGGGGGAGACAAAGGAAGGAAACAAGCATTTATTAAGCATCTACTATGGCCAAGCACTATACTAAGAGTTTTACAAATATAATTCACTTAATCTTCACAAGCAATCTTGAAAAGTAGGTGATAATATTATCCCTATTTTATGGTTGAGAAAGCTGAGACAAAGGTTCTTCAGGAAGTCTATATTTTACACTCTGGACTGTGAAATTTGCAGCTTTTTCACATGGACTCTTAACTGCACACCAAGAATTATAAACATACCAGAAGACTGTAAACATAAGCAGCAATTTCCTCTGATGCTTTCCTTTATTTTCTCCTACAGCCAAAGCTTGACCTAAGGGGGAGGTAGGCAGGAGATCCAATTTCTATTTTTTATACATAATATTTTATTTTTCCCCAATTACATGTTAAAATAAATTTTTCAATTTTGAGTTCCAAATTCTATCCCTGCCACCTCCCTGGGACAGTAAGCAATCCAATATAGTTTATGCATGTGCAATCATGTAAAATATTTCCATATTAGTCATTTTGTACAAGAAGACTCAAATTTAAAAAAAAAAAAAGAATGAAAGAAAGTAAAAAAATAGCATACTTCAGTCTGTATTCAGACAGTATCAGTTCTTTCTCTGGAGGCAGAAAGTATGTTTCATTGTTAGTCCTTTGGGATTGTCTTTGATCACTGTATAGCTAAGAAGAGCTAAGTCATTCATAATTCTTCATTGTACAATATTGCTGCTACTATGTACAACATTCTCCTAGTTCTCTTCACTTCACTTTGCATCAGTTCAAGTAATTCTTTCCAGGTTTTTCTGGAATCATCCTGCTTGTCATTTCTTATAGCATAATAATATTCCATCACAATCATATGCCACAGCTTGTTTAGCCATTCCCCAATCGATGAGTATTCTCTTGATTTCCAATTCTTGACCAACATAAAAAGAGCTGCTAGAAATATTTTTGTACAAATAGGTCCTTTTCCCTTTTTTCTTTTCTTTTTTTTTTGGTATCTTTGGGATATAGACCTAGCAGTGATATTGCTGCATCGAAGGGTATGCAGAGTTTCATAGCCCTTTGGACATAGTTCCAAATTGCTCTCCAGAATGGTTAGATCAGTTCACACTCCACCGACAGTACATTAGTGCCCCTCTTTCCCACATCCCCTCCGACATTTATCATTTTCCTTTTTTGTCATATTAGCCAATCAGGTAAGTGTGAAATGGTATGTCAGAGTTATTTTAATTTGCATTTCTCTAGTCAATAGTGATTTAGAGCATTGTTTTTTTAGGCAATTGGGGTTAAGGGACTTGCCCAGGGTCACACAGCTAGTAAGTGTCAAGTGTTTGGTCCAAGGCCAGATTTGAACTCAGGTCCTCCTGACTCCAGGGCCAGTGCACTATCCACTGCACCATCTAGCTGCCCCCTACAGCATTTTTTCATATGACTACAGATATCTTTAATTTATTTATCTGAAAACTGCCTGTTCACATCCTTTGATCACTTATCAATTGGGGAAAGGCTTTTATTTTTTATAAATTTGAAACAGTTCTTTAAATATTTGAGAAATAAAGCCTTTATCAGAGATACTTTTTACAAATTTTTTCCCAGTTTTCTGTTTCCTTTTTAATTTTGGTTGCATTGGTTTTGTTTGTGCAAAAACTTTTTTTAAATTTCATATAATCAAAATTGTCTATTTTACATTTTGTAATGCTCTCTATATTTTCTTTAGTCCTAAATTCCTCCCTTCTCCTTAGATCTGACAAATAAACTATTCCATGCTCTCCTAATTTGCTTGTGGCATCATCCTATGTGTGTAAATCATGTATCCATATTGACCAAATCTTGGTATATGGTGTGAGATTTTGGCCTATGCCTAATTTCTGCCATACTGTTTTCCTGTTTTCCCAGCAGTTTTTGTCAAATAATGAGGTTTTTGTACCAAAAGCTTGGATCTTTGGGTTTATCATATACTACGTTACCATGGTCATTTACTATAATGTAAATGTGTACCTAATCTGTTCCATTGATCCACCACTCTATTTCTTAGACAGTACCAAACTGTTTTGATAATTACCACTTTACAATACAGTTTGAGATCTAGTACTGCTAGAATACCTTCATTCACTGTTTTTTTCATTGATTCTCTTGATATCCTTGGCCCTTTGTTCTTCCAGATGAATTGTTGTTTTATTGTCAAGATCTACAAAATGATTTTTGATAGTTTGGTATGGCACTGAATAAATAGATTAATTTAGGTAGAATTGTTATTTTTATGATATTGCCTCAGCCTAGTGATAAGTAATTAACATTTTTCCATTTGCTTAGATCTTATTTTATTGTTGTGAAAAGTGTTTTGTACTTGTGTTCATATAGTTCCTAGGTTTGTCTTGGCAGGTGGGCTCCCAAGTATTTTATATTGTCTACAGTTATTTTAAATGGAATTTCTCTTGCTGCTGGAATTTATTGGCAATATTTAAAAATGCTGATGATTTATGTGTGTTTATTTTGTATCCAGCAATTCGCTAAAATTAAGTATTTCAAGAAGCTTTTTAGTAGATTCTCTAGGATTCTTTAAGTATAATATCATATCATCTGCAAAGAGTGATAGTTTTGTTTCCTTACGGTGTATTCTAATTCCTTCAATTTATTTTTCTTCTCTTATTCCTATAGCTTACATTTCTAGTACAATATTGAATAACAGAGGTAATAATTTGCATCTTTACTCTACCCCTGATCTTACTGGGAAGGCTTCTAGCTCATCCCCATTACAGATAATGCTAGCTGATAGTTTTAGATAAATATTACTCAACACTTTAAGGAACACTCCCTTTATTCCTATGCTCTCTAATGTTTTTAATAGGAATGGGTATTGTATTGTAGCATCTGCATCTACTGAGATAATTATATGATTTCTGTTGATTTTATTACTGACATGGTCAATTATGCTGATATTTTTCCTAATATTGAATCAGCACTGTATTTTTGGTATAAATCCCACCTGGTCATAGTGTATGATCCTTGTAATATATTGCTGTAATCTCCTTGCTAATATTTTGTTTAAATTTTTGCATTAATGTTCATTAGGGAAATAGTTCTATAATTTTCTTTCTCTGTTTTGGCTCTTCCTGGTTTAGGTACCAGCACCATGCTTGTATCATAAAAGGAATTTGGTAGGACTCCTTTGTCTATTTCCCAAAAAAGTTTATGTAAAATTGGAATTAATTCTTCTTTAAACGTTTGGTAAAATTCACTTGTAAATCCACCTGGCCTTGGAGATTTTTTCTCAGGAATTTCATTGATGGCTTGTTCAATTTATTTTTTTTAAGATTGGGTTGTTTAAGTATTCTACTTCTTCTTCTGTTAATCTGGGTAATTTATATTTTTGTAGATATTCATCCATTTCATTTAGATTGTCAAATTTATTGGCATATAATAGGGCAAAATAGTTCCTAACAAATGTTTTCCTGTCTTCTTCATTGGTGGTAAATTTACCCCTTTTATTTTTGATACTAGTAATTTGGTTTTCTTCTTTCCTTTTTTAAATTAAATTAAAAATGGTTTGTCCATTTTATTGGGGTTTTTTTCATAAAACCAGCTTCTAGTTTTATGTATTAGTCCAATGGTTTTCTTATTTTCAACTTTATTAATCTCTCCTTTGATTTTTCAGGATTTCCAATTTGGTGTTTAATTGGGAATTTTTAATTTGTTCTTTTTCTAGTTTTTTTAATTGCATACCAAACTCATTGATCTGCTCTTTTGCTATTCCATTGATATAAGCATTTAGAGGGATAAATTTTCCCTCAGTACCACATTAGCTGTATCCCATAAATTTTGGTATGTTGTCTCATTGTTGTAATTTTCTTTAATGAAATTACCAATTGTTTCTATGATTTGTCCTTTGACCCACTTATTTTTTAAAATTAGATTATTGTTTCCAATTGATTTTTAATCTATCTTTCCACTGCCCATTAATGAATGTAACAATCCAATATTAATATCAAACTACAAGTCTCATTAAACTACAAAAAATCTACAAATAACAGCATCTAAATTCATAAAGGAAATATTAACTGAGCTTAAAAAGATATAGACAGGAACATAATAGAGCCAAGAGATTTAAATGTCCCTCTGTCAGTTTTGGATAAATCCAACAGAAATATAAACAAAAGAGAAAATATAAAACTGAACAAATTGCTGGAGGAACTAGAGCCAAAAGAATTGTGACACCTTCTAAATGGGCCTGCTAAGGAATATATGTATTTTTCAGCACCACATTAAATTTGCACAAAAACTGATCGTGTGTTATGGTACAAAGATAAGGCAAACAACTGTAAAAGGTAAAAATAGTAAATACATTCTTTACAGACCATAAAGCAATAAAAATAGTAAGTTGCTCAGAAATCATATACAAAAGACACAGACCTAAAAGAATCCTTAACACTAAAATCCTAAATAATGAGTACATCAAATAACAAATCATTGTTGTTCAGTCATTTCTCAGTCCTGTCTGACTCTTCATGACCCCATTTGGGGTTTTCTTGGCAAAGATACTAGAATGGTTTGCCATTTCCTTCTCCAGCTCATTTTACAGAGGAGGAACTGAGGAAAATGGAACTTAGTGACTTGCCCAGGGTCACACAGCTAGTAAGTGTCTGAGGCCACATTTGACCTCGGGAAAATGAGTCTTCCTGACTTTAGGTCTGGCACTCTATCTACTGCACCACCTGGCTGCCAAACAAATCATATAAATATTTTAATAATTATAGGGGGGAAATGAAAATGATGAAACAACATATCAAAACTTCTGGGATTCAGCTAATGCAGTACTCAGAGGGAAAATCCTATCCCTACAAATGTACATTAACAAAATAAAAAAATAATAATGAACTATATATCCATTTTTTAAATTAGAAAGCTAACAATTAGTCTCCATACAACAGAAATTATATTCAAAAACTGAAAAAGAATGCACCCTACTAGAATCATTTTATAAGACAAATATTATCCTAATACCTCAATATCAGAGAAAAATAAAACACAGAAGGAAAACTATAGGTAAATATCATCAATGGTCAATTCAAAAATTATAAATAAAATCCTGTCAAACAGATTACAATGACTTATCCAAGAAATCATTCATTATAACCAAGTTGGATTTGCATGAGAGATACAAGGATTTTCAGCATTAGAAAAACAATATAACTATATTAAAAGCAAAAACATGCAAAATCACATAATTATCTCAATAGATGCAGAAAAGGCCTTTGGCAAACTGTAACATTCATCTGTGCTAAAAAAAACCCTATAAAGTATTGGCATAGAAGGACCTTTTTTCAATATCATAAATCTGAAACTAAAACCAATCATCATATGCATTAGGGATACACTAGAACCTTTTTCTGATAAATAAAGGAGAAAAACAGATAATCTAATCTCCCCATTATTATTTGATACAGCTTTAGAAATGCTAGCAATAACAATAAATCAAGAGAAAGAAATTAAAGGCATAAAGATCGGCAAGGAGGAGATAAAACTATCCAAACTTGCTAATGATAAGGTGGTATACTTGAAAAATCCTGGACAACCAGTAGCTTTAGCAAAGTTGCAATTTGCAAAATTAACCCTTCAAAGTCAAACGCATTTCTATATTTTGTTGTTCAGTCTTTTCAACCCTATCTAACTCTTTGTGACCCCATTTGGGGTTTTCTTGACAAAGATAATGGAGTGGTTTGCCCTTTCCTTCTCCAGCTCATTTTACAGATGAGGAACTGAGGTAAACAGGGTTAAGTGACTTGCCCAAAGTCACACAGCTAGTAAGTATCTGAGGCCAGATCTGAACTCAGGAAGATGAATTTTCCTTACTTCAAGCCTGGCACTCTAACTATTCAATGTAACAATAACAAAATAACAAGGCAATAATAGAAAGAGAAATCATATTACAAAAAAAACTATAAAATGCATTAAGTATCCAGGGATCATCTATTAAATGATTATTGTACATTCAATTCACTGCTATGGGTAGGAGATATATTCTTAAATAAACAAGGTAATTACAAAAGAAAGAACAGATAACTCTTATTACATGAAACTGAAAAACTTCTGAACAGACAAGTTTAATGCACCTAAGAAAAGCAATTGAATGAGAAAATACCTTTGTGTTTTCTGATAAGAGTTTGTTATCCAATACACATAAAAAATTAACATATATGTAATACCAAAAGCCATTCCCCAATAGGTAAGTGGTCAAAATTTGTGAACAAACCATTCTTACAAGAAGAATTTCAGCCCTGGAATCAGGAGGACCTGAGTTCAAATCCGGCCTCAGACACGTAACACTCACCAGCTGTGTGACTCTGGGCAAGTCACTTAACCCCAATTGCCACACACACATACACACACACACACACACACACACAAGGCTTAAAAAATAAAACAAAGAAAATACATGTAAAATTAGCATTAAAAAGCCTTTGAAGAAATCCCTTCAAGGAAATGTTGAGAATCTAATTTGACCTTTCCAATTTCTGAGAGAAACAGCTACTTTTATGTGCTCAAAAATAGGGGTGAGGTATACCCATGTCAACTACCAAGTTTTGAATAACATCACTATGAATAATATAACTAATATAGATATATCAGATACTTTTTTTCCATTGATTTCAGATTACTGGTAAGGAATAAAGGAGAGTAGATTTATACTATGCTGAAGGGCACCTATAAAATGATAGCTATTTACATAGTACCTTAAGATGTGCAGAGCGTTTCACAAAAATTATCTCATTTATTATTCACAATAACCCTACCTATTGTGCAATTTTAAATGGGGTTCAATCTCTCATTTCATACTATTCTAGCAGATTCCCCAGAATTCAATAACTACTTCTCCCTTGAAGGTCCTAGAGTAATACTGAGGAGCTGAGGTTTCTAATGTTTTCATTCAGAAGTCCCCATCCATTGTACCATCAATTAGCATTTTAAAGGATATTTTTGTCCTGAGAATTACAGCAAGAATGGTATCTACCAAACAGTTCCACCATGCCAGGAAGCATATTCTCCCCTTGCAAATACATATACAAAATTGCTGAGGACAGCAAGCTAAAACTTAAAGAAAAATGGGAAGATGTGTAAAGAACATGCATAGCCAAAGGGCAACTCCCAACTCCTGGCCCAGAATGCCCTTTTCTCTCTTTATAATAGAGTCCTCATGAGATGTCTTTTAATTGTAACTCTATGGATTGGTACCAGTCTGGGGTCCATAACCTTCATTCCTCTTTGTCATAAGGAGTCTTAACCAGTGAATCTGGTATAAGCCTCAAGGAATTCTCTTTCTGCCTCTGCATGTAAGCATTTTCTCTGTCACAGGCCACTATTGTTCTGGCAGACATTGCCACTAACTTGGATCGCCAGAGGAAAGCTCCTCTGATGACTGGGCATTCCCATATCAGTACAATAACTCACCTAAAAATCAGGAAAAAATAAACACAACAGAAGAGACAAGTACTTGAGGACACGCTGTGACCAGGTGTTAGATAAAGCAACCACTCTTCCCCCTATCCAGCAGCTTATGGTGATCCTCTTCACTCAAAAGACACTGCAGAAGAGAGAGATTTGGGAGCAAAGATTGCTACTTTGTTGTATCTACATAGTTCTGGTTCAGCAGTTAAAAGATCACTCACTCCCAAATATTGTGAACTCATGAGTCATCATGGCCAAAAGGTAGCAGTCACAAGATATTTGACGTGCTCTGAGACTAAGGGGAAGAGCCTTTCTTTGATGCCTGTCCAGAAACAGGCCCACCCCAAGCATCTATGTGCTTGCCTGGGATGTCTACTGGAATATTCCAAAAGAGGGGGGAACCCAGGAATGCTACACTATTTTTATCCCCATAATACAGATGACAATATTGAGTCTGAGAAATTTTAATGGAAATGTCCAGAATCTCATAGCTACTATCTGAGGCATGATTTGAACACAGGTCTTCCAAACTAAAAGTCCAGCACTCTAGCCCAATCTGCCTCTCCTTTCCTTAGATCTAACATTTTTAGACTGAGTACTGGGTCTTAGCAGGGAACAGGCTTCTTGACTCAGTTTGGACATTTTAAATACTTGCTCGTGCCTTTCAGATTGGGTAATGTACCTTTAACATT